GTCGGACCCGACGTCGACTCGCGCCCTGGCAAAGGGTCGGGCCACTCGCCCTCCGGCCTCAGCGCAACCAAGGGTTCCTCCAGCCGCGCGTCAATATCGGGCCCGACGAATTCTCGGGCGCCCAGCGCGGCCGCGCGCTCCGCCTGCGGCAGCCCAGGCGCAAGCTCCGCGAGCGCGCGGGGAAGCGCCTCGAAGGCGGGCCCCCCATTGCAGTCGACGGCCGCGCACGCGAGGGCGAGGAGAGCGCCGGCACCTCGACGACCGCAAAAGGGCTCCTCCGCGAACGCCCCTGCGCGAGAAAGCAGGCGCCCCATGGCCTGCGCCCGCGCCAGAGTGAGCGAGCCGTCGTGCTGCTCTGGCCACAGCTGAGCCGCGTGCGACCATGTTGTGCCAACGCTCGAGCATCGCGCTCCGGGCCACGTGGGCGAGGCGGCATCTACGGCTGCGCGGGCGACACCTGCCGCGCAGTATCCATCGCATGACCAGGGGGAGACTTGGCAGGGGCAACGGAGAGACAACCCGCCCCGGAGCCCCGCCCCCCCCCTGCGCGCCGTGAAGTCCCTGGCGACAGCGCCCAGACCCGAGGGGTCCGTGATGGCGAAGCCCAACTGCGTCACGGCGAAGTCGACGGCCGTCAGCTTGGACCCGGGCTCCACCCTGACAGCGCGCTGCCACTCCTTGGAGTCCGCCTCGCTCGCCGACGTCTCCTCGAGGCGCTGGTCCTTGGAGCGGTCGCTCGGCGGCCCCTGCGTCGGGGGCGGGGCTGCGTGGGTGCTCGGAGAGCTACCCCCCGCCCCGCCCTGACCGACGCGCCGCCCCTCCAGGCTGCTGCAGACCCGCCGCGTCGCCCCGCCGGCGACGGCGCGCTTCCTCCCCAAACTGCTCGCAAAGGGCGCGCGGAGGGCCCGCGGGCGCCGCGGCAGCCTCTGGCCCCAGGGCGTCGAAGGGCACGTCGAAGCCGCGCGCGCCCTTAACCTCGGCAGCGCCAGCTGACACCAGCCCGCGCGGCGGCGGCCCGGGCCCCGCAGGGGCGGGAGGGGCCCCCTGATTCGCACCTCGCTGGCCTTCGCGGGCACGCCGGGCTTCCCGGCGCCGCGCCCCGGTCTCCTTCCAAGGGCGCCCCCCCGAGACGACCCGCCGCGGAGGGGCCGCCCTCGCCGCCGACGCGAAGTCGGTCTCCGCGGCGCCGACTGGGGCTGCGGCGCGGCCCGCCTGGCTGGCGGCTGCGCTGTCGCAGGGGTGCCCCCCTGGCTGGCCAACGGGGCGATGGGGGGGCAGCGTCGCCCCCGACTCGCCCCGGCCGGCTCCCCAGCCCCGAGGCTGCATGCGGAGTCGTGAAGCCAGCTCCTCCAGCTCGAACCCCCCATGCAGGATGCTCCTCATAATCTCCTCCTCCTCGCTGCGGAGAGCCAGCGGCTGGTCCCGCGGCGGTGCCAGCTCGAGCAACTTCGCCGCAGACCACTCGCCGTCGTTCACAGCGACCTGGATCCCTTTGAACCCCTGGGCCAAGATGTCGGCCACTGCTGCTGTCAAGCCTTGACACAGCAGGTCCAGCGCCTCCGCGATCGCCCGCGTCTCGCGACAGATCTCGCCGCCGATCTCCTTCGCAGGGTGCTGCGGCAGGTAGACAGAAAGGAGCAAGCGCAACACGATGGGCCCACGCGGGTCGACTGACCCTCCGCCGCCCTGTGAGCCCAGGCACTTCGACATCTGATCGAGGCTCAACTCCGCCAGGCGGCCTGGATGCACGAGCTCAAGCCTCCTGCAGCGCGCTCGCCGCGAGGCCACCCTTCGGGGGGGGGTCGCCGACGGCAGTCGCGACCCCACCGTCGGCGCCGAAAGCGGGGTCCTCCGACGGCCGAGCCCCGCTCTGCAGCGCCTTGACCAACGCCGTGAGCAAATTCTGCACGCCTGCGCCCGCACCCCTGGGGGCGGGCCCACGTGGCGCAGCGCCCCCAGTGGCCGCGACAGGCCCACCTGGCCCCTCGCTGGGAGCGGGCCCGCCTATGCCCTGCCCCGACGGGCCCACCTGGGCCAGCCGTGGCCGCCTTGCGGGCTCGGTCGCCCAGCACCTCGGCGAGCGCCCTTTTGGCCGCGGGCCCGCCTGGCCGCTGCGGCTTTGGGACCAGCACCTCGCCCACCTCGATCCCTATGACGCCCTCGCCCGCGGGTCGCGCCGCTGCTCCTGGAGGCGTCCGAAGCGATCCCTGTCCTCCTGCGGCTTGCCGCGAAACGCCCCTCGGCCCGCGGAGGGGGGGGGGGGGGGGGGGGGCCCAGGGCAGGCGCGCCGCCCCAGATGTCGCCCAGGGGCGACTGTTCCGCGGCAGCGGGCCTCCTGGAGGGCGCCGCAGCAGCAGAGCGGGGGGCGTTCCGCGGGCCGAGGAGGTCAACCGACCAGATCGCCTCTGGGTTGTCGGTCAGCTGCGACGCAACGGTCTCCCCGAGATCGTCTGCGTCGACGGGCCTCGCGTCGGTGATGGGCACCAGCTCTGAGCACCCGCGCGGCGGCTCCACACCGCAGACCTCGCCCTCGCACAGGTGGGCGAGAGGCCGCGCCGACACAACGCCGCGCTCTCATGGGATGCCGCTCGCCAGTCCCACTACGGGTCGTCTGAAAACAGGAAGCGGGGCCGCGCGAAGACCGCGGGCCCGACCGAAACGCGCTCCGCGACCCAGGCGAAGCTGCACTATACGGAGCTGTCGCCGTCGTGCGCTGTCGAGGGGTACGCCTGGCCCTCGGTCAGCTCCGACGGGGGGTCCTCGACGGGGAGCGGCTCCTCCGCGGCGAACTCCCCCGTCGTCGGAGTATACAACTCGTTCAGGCCGTCCGCGCCACCTCGGGTCTCCGCCATCGGTGGGCCAACGCTTGGGCCGCGCCATAGCCGCAGGCAGCTCGCGATCGCGAGCACCTCCGCGCCAGGCAGCGCCGCCGGGACCCCAGCCGCGGGAGCGCCAGGCACGGATGGCGGAGGCCCTGGCCTGGGGGGGGGGAAATCGGGCCAGGCCCCCCAAGTATAGCCCTACGACAAGCGTAAACGGTCATACACATGTCTATATGTGTGTGTGTGAGTGTGTGTGTGTGTCTGTGTGTGTATGTGTATGTGTATGTGTATGTGTATGTGTATGTGTTTGCGTGTGTGTTTGTGTTTGTGTTTGTGTTTGTGTTTGTGTTTGTGTTTGTGCTTGTGATTGTGTTTGTGCTTGTGCTTGTGCTTGTGTGTGTTTGTGTTTGTGTATGTGTTTGTGTGTGTTGTGTTTGTGTTTGTGCTTGTGTGTGTGTTTGTGTTTGTGTTTGTGTTTGTGTTTGTGTGTTTGTGTGTATGTGTATGTGTGTGTGCGAGTGCGTATGTGTCTCACGCAACCACTCACCAGTCCCCCCGAAGCTGGTCAGAGGGACTGATTCTGCATTGGCCTCGCTGCTAAACTTTCTCCCGCGCGGATGTAGGGAGACAGGCAGATACCGATACTGCTACTCCCAGACCTCCACTGGCGGGCGTCCTGGCCAGAATTTCTGAGGCATCCAGCCGTGGAGACGGGGGCTCTCCAGGACGAGCAGTTGGTCTCGGTATCTTTCCCTCCTCCGAGGATGCAAACTGTGGCGCCCTCTTTCCTCAACCCGAGTCGTGGCGCGAGAGAGCATGCCATGGGGACCGCAGGCAACGCCTGCCGAGCTCTACGACTGGCCTACTTCGGTCACCCGGCTCCGCGCCCTCGCGCCCCGCGCGACGTGCGGCGCACAGTCGCCACTCCCTTCCGGCGCCGCGCCGAGGGGGAAGTGACCTTCTCAGACAAAGCGGCGTGGCTTGTGAGGAGCCCTCGGGCCCTCTGGAAAATCCGCTGTGCCTTCGGAGAGGGCTCAGAAGCTCCGCAGACGGCCCGAGAGGCATGCGGAGCCCTCTGCGAGATACCGCCCCAGCTGCCTCCCCTCCTGGGCGCGCCGCCGGCCTTGGCGAGAGGGCAACCGCGCTGACCCAGACCCTGGCGCGCGAGGCGCGGTTGACTTACACGGGGAAGTCCCGAGGGGCGAGGGGGCGCGTCCGAGTGTCACAGATGGCACCTGGAGCAAGAGCCCCGGGTGGGCAAGTCTGGGCGGCAGACCAGCCAAGCCCGGAGCGGGCTACCCATTTGGAAAAGGTGAGCGCCAGAGTGATCGGATAGAGCAGCGCGACAACACACGCCATGAGTCAAGCATCGATGAGGAAATACACAGGGAGCTCACCGACTCCGAAAGGAACTTGTGTGTGAGAGAGAGGGAGAAAGATAACGCACACCTCCGCAGAAAACTGTCCCCTCCCAGGTTCCGATTAGCGCATGAGGACGTGCTCAAATTTGTTAAATGTGCAGCGAACGGACTGGGGCTCCATTGTTAAGCGTGGCGTATCAATAATGTGAGTGAAAACGTTGGCCGATAGCGTCGCATTGTGATGTCGAGGGCCCCTTGGCCCAACAATTGCACACACACACACACACACACACACGTTAGTCTCCATTATCTGTCCCTTCTTCCTACCCCGTTCTCCTCCGCCTCGCGTTCCTCGTCTTCGTTGCTAAGTATTCCCGTCCCTGTCCTTCCTCTGCTGTCTTTATCGCCGTCGTCCTCCCTCAGTTTGCCCTCCTACGATCGTCCCATGCTGCGTTTCCCTCTCGACGCCTGCAATGACGCACTGCGGGCTTTCGAAATACTGGTGTACGCCAAGTCATTATTGAATGCATCTCGGATCTCACCATGACTGGCACACACGCGCTTGTCTGAGAGAGCCCAGCCTACATTCACATCGCCGTCCCCCGTGCAGCACACTCCACCCGATTGCACAGCGGACGTGGCAAAACGTGCGCCATGGTAGAAGCGAGCTCCAATACCATCTCTCTCTCTCTCTGTTCCATTTCCCTCCCTCCCTGCCTCTATTTCTCCATACAGAAATACACATGAAGAGAACATATATGTGACAACCACGAATGCGGATCACAAAAAGAGCAGTGGCAATCGCGGAAGCGCGCTCCAGTACTAAGCACACTAAGCCCTTGCCCTGCAAGTTGCTTTTTCCGCCCAGAAGCGTTGTGTGCAGCAGCGCCTTCGAGCGCACTTGGGGGAGGCCGGAGGAGAGTCAGAATGGAGTGCGGACAATCGGCGGGGGAAGAGCGTCGGAGAACTCTGGGGAACAGCTGCGGCACACGTGCCCGAAAGAGGAAGGAGGGAAAGAATGGGTGAACGTACACACCTGGGAAACCCTGACCTCTTCACGGCGTTACCACGTACATGGCGGATGGTGTGTTTGACCTGTCTCGGCTTCCAAAATACCTTGGGCGCTGTACGCGGGGGCTGTTAGACAGCATGATATTGTTTCCTTCCACGGCCTTGAAAAAGAAAGGAGGGGGGAGGAGAAATCTTCGGACACTCAAGGGGGGTCCTGGGGGGCATGGTGGCCCCAGCCCCCGAATTCGTGTGGGCGAATGTGTCCACACCCCCAGCTTGAGCGAGGCCGCCCCGCCGGCGCGACTGCCCGCCGGGGTTGCGTTCTCTGGAGTGCTCCCCTCGGACGCGCGCCTGGCCACGCTTGCCGCGAAAACCTGGTAGCAGGCGCCGCCGCCCCCGCTGCTGGCCCCGACCGCATGGGCGGTGCGCCTGCAAGGGTCCGACGGCGAGTTGTGGCGCTGCAGCGGGCCGGCAAACGGGGCCCAGACCGCACAACGCGCCGACCTCACCGCGGCCCTGCGCGCGGCCTTGCAAAACTGGAGGCCCCTATTTGGGCTGCTCTCCGATGTCAAGCGCCACGGAATCGCCGACCTCGACCGCGCCCGCGACCCGTCCGCGACCCACCCCGCGACCCGCCCCGCGACCCGCCTCGCGACCCACCCCGCGACCCACCCGCGGCGTGCAATGTGTCAAAGAATCGCCGCCTGCGGCGGGCTTCTTCAGAGCCTCGCAGGCTCGACGGCCCCTCCGCCCCCTCTCTTAGCCGCAACTGCGGGGTGTTACGTACCACACCTCGCCCGATAGAATTCGATTGCACCGAACTGGAAGTAGCGCGTAAATCAACCCGGCGCCCCTGCAACCCGTCGCCTCTTTGCGCGGAAAGGGGGGGAGGCAACCGCGGTCCCACAGCGACGGGGGAAAAAGGCCAGGCAGCTGTTCCCCCCAGATCATCAACGTCTTCACGATTTCTGCTGCCCCCCGACTCGTGCAGGAGGGTCCTCCGTCGATGTGGGCCAAAGTTCCCTTGAGATCATGCGTTATATGTCGATTTGTCGAGATCTGGATTGACAACGATCCATGTGGCTGCACACCTGCAAGTCGATCGGCGAAGGGTCGCCAAACACTTGGGGACCGTAGCGGGACTTGATTGGATATTCGCCCGCCGTCGAACTGAACTCCAGCCTTGTCTCCCCAGCATTTTCTTCGAAAGAATGTGTGTATGAGCGGTCCCCAACAGAGGTGGTCTTCCACAGACGCCAAACGAGATCAACGTCTGGCCGATCAGACGACCCCATCGCCGCGCTACAATCACCTGCTCTCATAAAGAACGCCGGATACTGAACGAAAGGGTTGTTCTGAATACGTAGATTGAGCGTCGTTCACGAACAAAGGTTCCGACCTAATTCCACGGAGCGCCCAAAAAAACACAACGCAGTCCGCCCTGAAACCGAAATGACATGTATTTTCAACGCCTCGAGTGTAGCCGCGCCGCGCCAGCAGTCGGACGACACCATATCCGTGTAACGCCGGGCACAGTCCGCCTGAGCGCAACACGGGCCTTTTTTCCCCGCCCCCCTCCCAGACGTAGAGTACCTCTTTGTTTTTTGTTCAACAAGAAACGGTTTAGGCAACGAACGCACGTTAGAAAACGCCGAGCATGTCATTGAATTTTGTCCCCGCCGCTCCGCCTCGAAACTGCGGCGGGTCGCAGCACGAGGCCCGCTGGGGCCATGCTGCTCAGGCCGCCTCCCCTCCTCCTCCTCCTCCTCCTCCTCCTCCTCCTCCTCCTCCTTCTCCTCCTCCTCCTCCTCCTCCTCCTCCCTCCCCTCCTCCTCCTCCTCCTCCTCCTCCTCCTCCTAATCCTCCTCCTCCTCCTCCTCCTCCTCCTCCTCCTGTCCTCCTCCTCCTCCTCCTCCTCCTCCTCCTCCTCCGCTCCTCCTCCCTCATCCTCCTCCTCCTCCTCCTGCTGCTCCTCCTCCTCCTCCTCCTCCTCCTCCTCCTCCTCCTCCTCCTCTTCGGATGGTGATGAGGAGGCGCACTTGTTTCATTCCACTTGGCCGATGGCGCCTCGGTTTCCGAGGCGCGAACTCGCGGCCCAACCGCCTGTCTGCCCGGGCCGCTTGCCCCCCCGCAGCGCGTCAACCTGTCTGCCAGGGCCGCCTGTGCCCACGGAGGGTGGGGCACGCGCCGACCAACAAGCTGGCAAGCGCGCCTTGGCCTCCCGCGCGCCCTGTGGGGCCGAGAGCAACGCCGCTGGAGGCCCCGCCGCCGCGGGCGCGGGTGGGTGGGGCCACAAAAAGAAACGCTGGCCCCGCTAGACGCCCTGAGCGAAGAGTACGGGGAACCTCCGCGTCCGAACGAACTCTTCTGTCATCCGCCGGCCGCCTTGCGGGGCCACTAGGCTGCGAGGGGGAGGATTGTTCCAGTTCCAGCTTCCAGTCTCCATTGTTACACTCTTACCGTCTGCTCCCCTGCAACTATTTATTGCTGAGCGCGCGAAGGGGTGGGCCGAAAACCGCTCTGGCTAACGTCCCCGAGTTGTGTTGTCCTGGGGGGGGGTGCGCGGGACACGTAACACATACGTGATACTCGCGTCCCCGAAGCCATGATCCCTAAAAGTTACACCATGATCGCGTGCCCGCGAGGTGCGTGCGCAACGATGAGGGCGGCGGCATCGGCCGCGCCAGTGGCGCCCTTACTGGCGGGGGCGGGGGGCCCCCAACGCAGGCCTCAGCGGGCGCCGCCTGGACCAGGGGCCCCCGGCCACCCTGGGCCGGGTCTGCCCGATTACTTCTGCCGCGAGCTCGAACTGAGCGCGGCCCCGGCCGCGCCCGCCCCAGGCGGCGCGGGCCCCCACCATCCGGGAAAGGCAGTTCGGGAAGGGATCCTCCAACAAGCTGCGGGCTCGCCACTTTGCTCATCGCCCAGCAGCACCCCGCGTTTCTGCTGCTCCTCCGCCCCTCTGTCTGTCACAATTTGGCTGCGGGCGCGTCTGGCGCGCCCTCGGACACGCTTGCAGCCCGTCCCAAGCGGCGCCCCCCCTGGCCAGCGGACAGACCTCCGCCTTTCCCGCGTGCTCCCGCGGTGCTCGAGCTGCGCGAATGCCTCCTCGACCAACGCGACTGCCAGCTGTGGGGTCGCCCACCGAATCGCCCGAGCTGCCGAGGCGCTCTCCTTGGCGCCTTTGGCGACCGCTCGGCGGAAAAAAGGCCGCCGCGCCGCCCATCGGCCTTCGCGCCTGGTAGGGGCCTCGGGCCCGAGATCAGGGCGCGGTCGCCCACCTGCCCGCTCGCCGCCCCAGTCGCCCTCGCCCGAAGAGACGATCTCTTCGGCCCCCCCGCCCTTGGGGCGCCAGCGGCCGCGCGGCTCGCCCCCCCCGCCCCCCCCCCCCCCCCCCCCCAAACACACATACACACGCGCGCACGCACGCACGCACGCACGCACGCACGCACGCACGCACGCACGCACGCACGCACGCACGCACGCACGCACGCGCGCGCGCACGCACGCACGCACGCACGCACGCACGCACGCACGCACACGCACGCACGCACGCAACGCACGCACGCACGCACGCACGCGCGCGCGCGCACGCGCGCGCGCACGCACGCACGCACGCACGCACGCACGCACGCACGCACGCACGCGCACGCACGCACGCACGCACGCACGCACGCACGCACGCACGCACGCACGCACGCACGCACGCACGCACGCACGCACGCACGCACGCACGCACGCACGCACGCACGCACACGCACACACACACACACACACACACACACACACACACACACACACACACACACACACACACACACACACACACACACACACACACACACACACACGCACACACACACACACACACACACACGCACCTCGGGTTGCGCGGGCCCATCGCTGCTTAGGCGGGCGACGTCCGGGCGCAGTTTTCACGCGCATAAGCGGATGCTCATCTCTTCGACGCCCAGGCAAGTGGGCCCCCCGCGCCCTCGGATGGCCGCGACGACTCGCCGCTGCCAAGCCGTGGAATCGCCGAGCTCTGCGCAATTCACCTCAACCTTCTCCCGGCTGTAGCCCGCTGCCTTCCGCTTCGCGCCTGCATGCATAGTTCGGCCGGCCCGCGTCTGCAATTGCAACCTTCGCGCAGACCTGGGCGATGGAGTCTGCCCATCGCCTCGCCTCCTCGCCATTGTCATTCACGAGGCTAGCCATCGCAGCGCCTGCCTTCACCGGCGCCTGGCCAATCCACTGAGCCACTCCAGGGGCCCCGGCCGCGCTGCGCATCCACGATGGCGCCATTCTTGACGCCCGCCTTGCACCGGGCCTCCAGGGCGCGGGCCACCGCCAAGCCCGGGGCCATCTAGAACGTGCGCGGCCGGCGGGGCCCCCGGCGCGCTACCGGGCCGCGCGCGCGCCGACGTCGCCGTGGCCCTCCGGGCTCGATGGAGCCAGCCCCTCGAGATGCCTCGCCCAGCTCTTCCGCCAGTCGACCAGCTCGAGCCCCTTCTGAGTGGGCTGCGAACGCCTCGGCCTCCTCGTCCTCCGCGCGGGAGAAAGTGTCCGCGGTGACGTTGTGACGCGCGCGGACTACTGCGCGCTGGCGCCCCCCCTCGCAATCGTAGACCGCCCCCGTGGAAGGCGCGCTGAAAGTTCGCCCGGTCGATTGCGGCCATCCTCCACGGCGTCGCGCCCCCCGTCGCCCACATCTCCACAAACACTTTGTCGCCCAGCAGAAAAGAATTAAGGAAAAGGGGCGGCGTCGCCCCAGCGCGCGTCGGCCGGGAGATTGGCCACCCGCGCCCAGATCACCCACTCGCCTGGCCTGCCCGTCCAACCGAACGTCAGGAACATGTAGACCGCCATAATGAGCGC